TCCTCTTTGAAAGTGGATGTAAGTTTGTGTACATCCCCCTTCCTCAATATAACATGGGAGCCTTGTGATATTGTTTATACATTTCGAAAATTCATGAACAAATTTTTTTATTGTGTTTTTAAAAATAAAAAATAACACACAAACCTGTTTGTTTATTATACATTCAGGATTGAAAAGTAAATCACTAATTTAAATGCATATTCTTGCAGAGTTGCAAAATACCAGGAGGCAAATCCTGCTGTTTATACAGTCATTACGTTTCCTTTTTTGTTTGCTGTGATGTTTGGTGACTGGGGTCATGGAATTTGTTTGTTACTGGGAGCTTTATTTCTTATAGCTCGAGAGAATAAGCTTGGTTCTCAGGTGTGTCTTCTTTAGTATGTTTAACTACTGGTGTCCTCTATAGAAATTGTTCTATTTGGTATATATTTTTTATTTTTTATATATGCATGTGTGTAACGATATCTAATTAGTTTCCTTTTGTTGTCAGAAACTAGGGAGCTTTATGGAGATGCTCTTTGGTGGCCGCTATGTGCTTCTCTTAATGTCAATATTTTCAATTTACTGTGGGTTGATATACAATGAATTCTTCTCTGTTCCCTTTCACATATTTGGCAACTCTGCATATAAATGCCGAGATGCTACATGCAGGTATACTATAAATTATTATTGCTTACATCTATGCTAATGTATACGTCAATCATGAGTTTATTACAATTAAAATTTAAAATACAACGTTTATGTCATTAAGTGCCTTTAAACTGAGATGTGCCTTGGTTGGACGCCTTTTAATCTCAAATATGTGTGTGTGCACTTTTACATGCTCTTGAATTTGTTATTATCCGTACATTGTGGTTGTGACTACATAAGAATTTCTATATAGGATTGATTTTTCTTCCTTACCCAAGTCGTATTACATACATTTTTATGGAACTTTTTAGGGGTTTGGTGGTAATAGTGGGTGGGTTACAGTAGCAAGGGTGGTAGTGAGTGGTGATTCGTGTGTGTTTTCACTTTGGAAAACATATGGAAAATGTTGTCTATTTACTGAAGAAAACATTTTATTTTTATTTTTAAATAAATTCTTCTAGTTTTTATATTGTGTTTTCAAATATTCTCTGTGAAAGTTGAAAATTGCGAACTGAACTTTGTTTTCCAAATCAAAAAGCATTTCCTTTTAAATACAAAACTCTATTTTCCATTTTTTTTCCAGTTTTTCTGGAAAACTGAAGTATTTTTCCATCACTATTAAACTGTCCCCAACGGTCTTTTTTTATTTAGGGTATTGAAGTTATAAGATTTTCCCTTGTTTGTGTATGTTTACTTACAATATGTGTTTGCCTTGACAGTGATGCGCGTTCAGTTGGTTTAATAAAATATAGTGACCCTTATCCATTCGGTGTGGACCCAAGTTGGCGTGGTAGCCGTTCAGAACTGCCTTTCTTGAACTCCCTTAAGATGAAGTTGTCTATCCTGTTAGGCATTGCACAAATGAACCTGGGTATTATGTTAAGTTACTTCAATGCCCGCTTCTTCAACAGCTCACTTGATATTAAGTATGTGAATTTTGCTTTTCTTTCCTTCTCCCCTCCCCCTTTTTTCCTTTTCAGTTGATGATTCCCCTGTTCAAGAAAAGAGATTTATTGTGTGAATTGCTTAACAGGTATCAGTTTGTTCCACAGATGATTTTTCTCAACAGCCTTTTTGGATATCTTTCACTTCTCATTGTTGTCAAATGGTGCACTGGTTCTCAAGCAGATCTCTACCATGTTATGATTTACATGTTCCTAAGCCCTTTTGAGGATCTAGGTGAAAATAAATTATTTTGGGGGCAGAGTGTGCTGCAGGTAGAGACCATTTACATCTTCATAACCTTGGAACACTTTTTGTTCTGCTTTGTTTGATTAAGAATATACTGCTGCAGGTTATTTTATTGCTTTTAGCCCTTGTTGCTGTTCCATGGATGCTCTTCCCAAAACCGTTTATTTTGAAGAGACTCCACACTGAGGTATTGCATCTAATAACTTCTGCTTTCTCACCCTTAACATGTATGAAATCCTAATATAATGTCTTCATTGAGTAAATATGCTTTGCCTCCTCTTGGATTACTGCTACCTCCTTTTCTTACCTGAGATTCATAACTGTAGATCGGGTGTAATCATGTCCAATGCCAATTGCACAGATAAGGTTGTGGATAATGCAAAAACCTCACTAACATTGAGCCTTGCTAGTGATCTTTCAAACTAAAATTGGAAACTCACTAAACATTTGTGTAACTGTGCTTGGATATATTCCTTTCTGGCTGTTGTAGTCGAGTCTACAATTTCTTGTTTTCTCCTCAACAGACAACAGCAATCAGAGTAGTAAAAGCAGCTCCTTTTACTTGATATTCTTACACCTTCAAATTGATCAGTTCCACAATGTTTTGAAATTCTTTCATCACCTAGAAGTGTGTTGGAGTTTGAGTACTTTCCCCTAATATTTGCAAAAAAAAGAAGAGGTTTTCAGAATGCCTTTTTTAAAATAATGCTTTATTGATAAAAAAAAAACTTTTCTGATTAGCAAGGAGATGACATAGGGCCTAGGCGGAAGCTCTGCCAGACAGCTGGTTTTAGTTGTTTCAATATGTTAATTTCTCTGTGTAATTTGTTTGGTGCAATGGTAACCTTGTAAGATAATGACAGTTGGTGAACTTTTTAGTGATGTATTGAACTTGTGCTTTTCAATCATTAGAGATTTCAAGGTCGTACATATCGGATGCTTGGAAGCTCTGAGTTGGATAATGAAGAAGAGCCTGATTCTGCCAGGGAGCATCGGGAGGAGTTCAATTTTAGTGAAGTTTTTGTGCATCAAATGATACACTCTATTGAGTTTGTCCTCGGTGCTGTATCTAACACAGCTTCATATCTACGGCTATGGGCTCTGAGGTTTGTTGGTCATGTCACCTATTATTGATCATAAATTAATTTTTTTTATAAAATTATATATGATTGATACATTCTTCTGTTGTTACAGTTTGGCTCACTCGGAACTATCTACCGTATTCTACGAGAAAGTTCTCCTCCTTGCTTGGGGGTATGTTCTCATAGGCCTTTATTCTGAGAAGCATATGAGAAAAAGTTCTCCTTCGCTTTGTTTGAATGCAACTATTTACATGATTGTTATTACAGGTACGATAACCTTATCATTCGATTAGTGGGGCTGGCAGTGTTTGCCTTTGCAACAGCATTCATACTGCTCATGATGGAGACTCTGAGTGCTTTTCTTCACGCATTACGTCTTCATTGGGTGGAATTTCAGAACAAGTTTTATCACGGTGATGGCTACAAGTTCAAGCCATTCTCCTTTGAGTTGTTAGCAGACGACGATGATTAATACAACATAAGCTAACTGAATACTTCACAGGGGGCCCCAATTTTGGTCGGCTTTGTTTGTCAGTCAAGCAGCTAGCTAGCACAGGAGTTGTAAGTAGTGGCTAAGAATTTTTTCTTCAGTGAAGTCTTACAAAAGGGAATTGGGCTGGGGTCATAGAGCTGTTTACTAATGTAATAGATATTTGTATATTTTTGTTATACATACATGTCTTATCATCTTCTCCGCCAAATAGGGTATTGAGACACAGTTGTAAAGAAGGAACTTTTTTGCTCTATTCATGCACTTGTTTTAATTTGGACAGTAGAGAAAAGAAGAATGGATTCAATTCCTTATATAGAAGCTTAAGCCGTATCAAGTTTGTTTAAGTTTGTTTTATATTAAACCTTCTTCGTCCCCAGCACGCAAGTATTTTATCCAAACATTTTTCTTCTTCTTATTATTATTATGGTCGTCCAGTCCTGGTGAATGGTGATTGCTGTTAACAAAGGAAATTGTGACAGCTGAGTGACTAATTGAAAAACGTAACCGTATCTTAATATTTATGTTCTGACAAAATTATTGTGACTCTTTTTAAAAGTATATGACGCGATAATAAATGGTTGGGAATAGACTCGCTTTCAAACATTTATTACTTTTGCCTTGTTGATTACTCCGAATGTGTCATCTTTGAAAGATCTAAAAGCAGCGCAACTCATCTTTTTCTTTTAAATACTACTTTCTAAACCATTTAAGTTAAGTCCGTGCCCATGCAATTTTCATGCTAATGGGTGATTATTTTTAAGGCAACTCGTCTCTATTCACAACCATGTCTTATGGTTGTGGTTACCAAGTTAATAAATTAACTTATATTTATCAAATTAACCGTCTAGCCAACTTTACTAAATTAGATTAAGAGTTAAATTTGTAACTTTTTTGTTGAATTGGATTAGGGGTCAATTTATAATATTTTTATTATAAAATTAATAATCTAATCAACTTAGCTTAGTGGTGTGATATACTGATATATCATTTCTTTTATGAGTTCTAGTACATGTACTCTCAAATCTTACTCAATAATATAATGGACATTGTTAGGCTATTTTGTATATGTGTCTACATCAAAATTTTAGGTGTGAGAATAAAAGTTTGAGAGTAGAGAATGTGAGTATATATAGTATTTTCCTTATTTTATTAGGCTATCCTTATTCCAACAATTTTCTCTCACTTTCTAAAATGGGTATCACTTCTACATCTTCAAATTTGTAAATAATCTATTATTTATTCTTACATCTCTGCAATCTCACTTTTTAAAATGATCTCACTTTCATATTATATTATAAATTTAATAATAAATAACTAAAGTACACAAATAAGAAATAAAAAAAAAAAAAAGTACACAAAGGCTGCTGCTGAGTTTTAGCAAGTTTTCTAATTAAGAAAGCTTGCTAGACACATGGCACAAAAATTAAAACAAAAAGAAATATAAAATGCCACTTCAATAGCCATGTCATTTAACAAGTGGTAACATTTTTGGGATGAGGATAGTCTTATACATCATTTTCTGTGATAAATATAATATAATATAAAATAATTTGTTAATGTAGTTTAGTCTGCATACAAGCTACGCGTAACGCGTCTTTTATTTATATGACCGTCTCTGCATCCAGTCTCCCTCTCTTCAAGCATATATCCAAAAATACTTGAATCTAACTCACACTCAAGAATCAAGATGGAGAAGCTGTATAGGCCGTCGAAAGATGATATTTTTACACAATTCTGGAAGAGAGAGTCCGGTTTCTCAGCTCCCAGAAACTTCTCTCGCCGAGTCTCTGCTTCCGAGGTATACTTCTCTTTTATTTCTGTGTGTTATTTGGTGCACAGAATTATAGATTCTCCGTTTGCATTTGGAAACAGTTAGGATTTTGATGAATTGGGTAGGGTTTGCTCTACAATCGTTATTCTTCTGGCTTGCGACTAGTTGATTAGGTGAAGGCATGGCTGATAAAGTGATAAGTGATAAGGAGATACGGCTTTTAAGATCTCGTTATCAGTGTGCGTGATCATAGATTAGTATAAGGATTACTTTTTGGTGTAGCTACAGAGAAATTAGTGATAATTTCAGTAAAATTCATGTTTTCTGCATATTGCTGGTAGAAAATAACCCTAATATTTCTCGTCCTTTCGTGTGATGAATATTGTGTTACTGTACAATCTGTTATCTCGGATTTGCTAATGGGAAAAAGTTTGAAAAAAATTCTGGGGCTTCTAAACTATGTGCTGAATTCCTTACTGCTGAGATTCTTTCTACTGCTTATTATAATGAAATTATATGAGTGTGTTTAGTGCAAAAAATTTAGAAAAAGGAGTTCCAATTTCTATCAGAGGTGAGACGTTAGGGGTGTACATTGCAGGGTAGAAAATCATATAAATCTGCTGGTAAAACTATATATGTTTCATGTTTGATGCAGCCTCTGGTGAAGCGGCTTGATTTGTATGGGAAATTAAATGGTCATCTGGGATGTGTTAACACAATTGACTTCAACTCCACCGGCGACATTCTAGTGTCTGGTTCTGATGACAAACAAATAATTTTGTGGGAATGGGCAACAAAGACATCAAAAATGTCGTATGCATCAGGCCACTCGGATAACATATTCCAAGCCAAATTCATGCCATTAACCGATGATGGAAAAATCGTAACTTCATCTGCTGATGGCCAGGTGAAACATTTTGCTCTTATATCATGCCTTCAAATGAAATTGTACTGAAATGATGAAGAAACAGGAAAATGTAGTTCAAGCTGCTTTTGCAACTACACCTTTCACATGCCCATTGCTCCTTTAGTCCATTTACTTGAACGCTCTAATAATGTACATAACTACAGCCTAACATATGAAGCCGGTAGAAGTTGCATATTCTACTAATAGTCTATAAATATTTGAAGGAATTTAACTGCCAGTTGTTGTCATTATTGGACAAAATAATTTTAATGCCTCTCATTCTACTTCTATAAGTTTCGATCGAGCATCATGTCTAAAGTATAGTATGCCATCTCTATCTGAATGAATTTAAACCTGCTGGAGTTGTTCGCTATGTTGTCAATTATGTCTTTTTAAGATTGGTCATAAAATAAAAAGATTCTATGATTTCCTGGGCCTTGTGTCCTTCTGTTACTGCAGGTCAGGCTTGGCCAAGTGCTGCAGAATGGTAGGGTAGACACAAAAAGGATAGGGAAGCATCAGGGTCGTGTACACAAGATTGCTGTGGAACCGGGGAGCCCCTACATATTTTACAGCTGTGGTGAAGATGGTTTTGTTCAACACGTAGGTCACTAGTTTGCTTCAATGCTGTTTTACTTGTGATCGTTCTCTGTTTTAGAATAATCATATCATAGCTTGTGCATTCTGCAGTATGATCTGCGGAGCAATTCTGCTACAAATCTTTTCAGTTGCTCATCATTAAGGACAAACAGCAAGCAGTCTTCAAACAGCATAAGGTTAAATGCTATCGTTATTGACCCTAGAAATCCTAATTTTTTTGCTATAGGGGGTTCCGATGAATATGCACGCGTGTATGACATTAGAAAGTGCCAGCTGGACGCATCAAATAATTCAGATATGCCTATCAATACATTTTGCCCCCGTCATCTTAATAACAAACAAGATGTTCACATCACAGCATTGGCGTACTCTTGTACAAGTGAACTTCTGGTCTCGTACAACGATGAATTAGTATATTTGTTTCAGAAGAACATGGGCTTGGCTCCTGGTCCTTCGTCTGTGCCAAATGAAGATGCAGAGAAACTGGAAGATCCACAAGTTTATACAGGGCACAGAAACTCACGAACAGTCAAAGGAGTGAGTTTCTTTGGTCCAAATGACGAATATGTTTTAAGTGGATCTGATTGTGGTCATATATTTGTCTGGAAGAAGAAGGGTGCTAAACTTGTTCGTATGATGGTAGGCGATAGGCACATAGTGAATCAGCTCAAGCCCCACCCCTATATCCCAGTTTTTGCTACCTGCGGAATAGAAAAGAATATTAAGCTTTGGACTCCCTCATCAAAGGACATTAATCCTTTGCCTCGTAATGCCACAAAGGTTCATGCTTTTGCGTTATTATTTAATCATTTCATCTATGAGAACAACATAATAAGCGTGCTTACTGTTTTATTTTGTGATTATACATGTTCTACACTTTGCATTTGATCAGTTAATGGAGGCAAATAAACAAGAAAGGGAGGACCATTCGCGGGTTGCACTCACCCCTGACGTGGTCATGCATGTTTTGCGCTTGCATCGGAGGCAAGCATTGGCTTATATTGAGAGAAGACGCGGTGGGGAGGACATTGACAGTGATGAAGAAGATGAAAGGGAGGCTTACGTTTTAGGATTTTCAGATGTTGATTCCGAGGATGGAGGGGGAAATCCACGAGAATGCAACATTAGCTAGGAGCTGTGTAATATATCCCGTAAGTCAAAGTTATCTAAAGCTGCTACGCGTTTTGCTCTTAGTATGCATTTAGAATGTCTCTGTGAATCATTTCATGCGCAGTACACATGCATTTACAGAGACATCTATCTTATTATATCCTATGTACATTACCTCCCAGGAGCTTACAGTTGACAGTTATGTACTTATGCTTTAAGTAGCAGTTAATTTGCTAATTGCTATGACAAGGTTTTCAATCTGTACATAATGGAGTTCGAATTTTAGTTGTGTTTCATCATTTTGGTTTTCGTACTCATAAAATGAACCACACAAAAATATAGTACTGTAGCAATTTTTGTTGTTCCTAGGACATAACACAACCAGAAAATATTCCGGTGAAACTAGAGATGGCACCGGGGTAGGGAATATGTCGGGCATATTCTTTGTCCCGACCCTGACTTGAATGTGCCCCGACCCTGACTTTGTTCCCGCACTTAGAAAGGCGTTTCTCATCTCGGGCCCTTGGGTTCAGAGACATTTGTCATCTCTATAGGGAAGATTGTATGTCTAAAGAATTGGATTCACCATGGCCAACTTCCTTTACATTTTGGTATTTGTAGAACCAAGAACATATTAGAAAGTAAGCGAAGTTGAATACTCCAATTACAGTCACCAACCAGTAAACGTTGTCTAGCCTCCCGTGATTTATGTTATTCGGCAACCATTCGGTGACCCTTCCCAGAAGATCAATCAAGGCAGTGCTCAAATAAAAAGCAATTGCAATGATCACCCAAGCCAGTGATGTCGACACGTTCTTCAAGGATGCCGGAAATTCTTGGTAATACAACTCCAGTTGCCCCGGAAAATGCATTGCTTCTCCGATTCCCACGAGGGCAAGTTGCGGCAGAAGCCACATCACTGAGATGGGGGTGATGAGTGCATGCGATTTTGCTGCTGCATTTTGCCTCTTGGACTCCACCACGGCGGAGACAACCATGGCGGCGATGTTGAACATGTGGCCAGTACCCACTCGTTGGAGCGGCGTGGGAGGCTTTCCGGCCAACCTCCTCCACGCCGGCGACAATATCCGGTCAAAGAGGATGAGAGAGAGTGAGGTGGAGAGCATACTAAAGACGAAGATTGAACCTGCAGGGATCTGGAAATGGTGGCCTAGGTGGCGGTCCATTGTTAAAGCTTGGAGGATTGACAAGCTTACGTTCATTGCAATCGGAGTAGATAAGAATATGGCGGTTGACCATAGCGGGATGATTCTTATAATTGTTTTGAAATCCTCTACTTCTCTTACATTGCATAATCTCCATGGCTTCTTGTTTGACCCATCTGCTGCAACATCTCCATTGCCTCTCATCGCTGCTCGATTCAAGAACCTTCACAACGCACGCAATTAATCCCAATTAGATTAGTTGAACAGTTGACTTGATAGCTATATGCAAATAGTTGGAATTAGTTACTCAAAGCTTGTTGATGGTGGAGTGGTGAATTTAGCCAAAATGTGTTTCCCATAGTAGAAGTTATTCTCAGCTGATGAGAGTTGGAGCTTCCGTTTTCTAATGGCCGCAACCACAACACGAGCAAGAGCAGTACACGGGCTGCCTTCGGGTTTAGGACGGCGGTAGAAGGGAGTCCCGACCAAGAAAGCCGCTAAAGCAACAACGTTGGCACCCGCGGATATGTAAAACCCACATTCCCAGCTAACATTGTCTTCCACATAGACGACCACCGTGGAGGCTATCAACATGGCCACGTACATGGTGAAGAAAAACCAGTTGAAGAAAATGGTTTGGTTCTTGGGCTTGTCGGGGAACTGATTGGCTCCCATTGTCGCAATCACAGCCCTCCCACCTTGCCCCATGGTTGCCAAACATATGCCGCCGTACAACACTCCAAATTGGGCTCTTGTTGGCGCTTTGCAAATATCAGAGCCGCCGCCGTTTACGCATGGCTGTGGCTTTAGAGATGGAATGGATGCTGTTACTGCTAACAGCGTTATGCCCTGCAAATTAAACCCAGTAGTATAATGATCCGATCTATCGGAAACTTTAAGGTTTGAGTATGTTGAATTGAGATGAAAGAAGAATATTGTATTGTTGTATACCAGCAGAGAGATTACAGAGGAAATCCAGACGACGGAGAAGCAATCTAAGAAAGAGTCGGCGATAATGGCTGCGAGGACGGGGAATAAACTCAAAGTTCCACCGACGACATTGGCAATCTGAGCGGCGTTAATGCTCTTCACGTTGAACTCCTTAATAAGATACACAATTAAGTTGCTCGACCACCCGCCACCTGCCAGATTCATCCCTACCGTCGTCGCTGTCACATCAAATCCACCACACAAATCATTAATTACTACATGCATGCAATTATCCATATCACAAATATAATAAATGTATGGGTAATCCAGTCAAATTCATCAGATTGTTAACTTAGTTTCAGACCTAGTAATCCAAATCCTGTGCTTACTAGAATCAAAAGGTGCAGTGCACACCATAATGTTTGCCGTTTAATTTCTCTCGTTACTAAAAAAAAAAAATAAAAAAATGTGGCATACATGAATATAAATCCATAGCAACGTTCAAGGTACTATATATCAGTGTTGTAAAAATCTCGACCTAGGTGGTTGCCTAGACGCCGCCCCTAGGCCGAGGTGATTTCAGCGATAAGCAATTTTTATTTGGTTGGGCGACTAAGCACCGAGTTGAGCGCCTAACTTTGCCTAGTTGGCGCCTAATTATGCTGATTCGGCGCCTAACTCGGTTGTTCATTTTCTATATTCATCCAGCCATGTACTCAACTAACTATATAACATATGCAGTTGACTAGTTGGTGAGATTATAATAATACGGTCTAACAACTCACAACTCTAAGTGAAAAAAAGTGAAAACGACATACTTGAATTACGTACTCGACCACGTAGGAGGTGATATAGGCACTAGGCGCCTTACTAGCCACTTCTGCAACATTGTTATATATATCTAAGAATGTGTGTGTATATGCATGGAAAATATATATGGAAGCAGAGGGAGAAGGGAGAGACCGATTAGGAAGGGGAAAGTAATCCAGCCACCTGGTCGCCGCCGGCCATTTGACGACGACGGTTGTTGTACCTGCGAAACTTCCATATTTCTGACGACACACCTACCCACTGAAGACTGAAACAAAACAAAATTTCTATGGAAGAACTGATGATGATGATGTTACTTATATACAAGACAATGAGTATATATGATAAAAAATAATTAAAAAAAATCTAATTAAGAGATCGAGGGTACTATAAGGGCGTGTTTGAGCCTGTTGAGTGAAGTGTTGCCAAAGACTTAATGGGCTGACAAAGTTGGTAATGATGGACAGATGGCCACCACCAACGGAGGGCGATTGGTCATATATAGCCACTTGAAATCTGGAATCATATTCTCGGGTAAATTATATCGTGCACCGTGGTGCATAATCGATTATATACCGAGTTTTAAAACGATGTCGTTTTGTTTAATGAAAAGAAACGGCACCCGTTTCGCGTCGTTCCGCAAAAAGTAACTCTGTTATTCAGTTTCATTTTGTATACACTGCAGTTTCAGTTCAACACAACTGCAGTTTCATTTCGATATAACTACAGTTTCATTCGACATTTATACACTCAAATATGTAAAAATGTTATTTAATTTTATTTTATATACACTATAGTTTCATTAAAACACAACTACATGATCATTTCGATATAATTACAGCTTCATTGCACAATATACACTCAAATATGTGAAATGTTATTCAGTTTCATTTTATATACATTGCAGTTTCATTTCACTACAACTACGGTATCATTTTGATATAACTGTAGTTTCATTTGATAATATATAAAATAATACGTGAGGTAGTGTCGATTTAGATACACTGTAGTTTCAATTGGTAATTAATACACCAAAAAATTGCCCGTTTCGTTAACAGTAATGGCGCACCGTTTTTTTTTTTTTTTTTTTTTTTTTTTTTTTTTTTTTTTTTTTTTTTTTACTTAAAGAAACGGCGCCGTTTTTACCGTGGTCCACAATATAACGACCTATATTCTCGGAATGTGATTTTTTTTTTTTTTAGAAATTTATTTAGTATACGTTTAATGTGTCTGAAAAATTATATTTTTTTAGAGCATGACCATCGGTGGTTATTTTGGAGTTCATAGTACACTATTCAATGACATGGATGAAAGAGAGTGTATGAGAGAAAAAAAAAGGGAAATATATACAAATGAAGAGATATTTCAGAAAGTGGGACCCACTGAACAAAAAAAATTCCCTCACTAAGTTGTGTGTCTCACTAATCAACTATTATGGATGCTCTTAATATGTCTGAAAGAGCATAAGATGCATCCCACCTTTGAAAGCTTGCGAGTTTGCGAATATATATACACCCATAAGACATATTCAATACTCCGTACTACATAGTAATGTTCTTTGAGGAAAAGCAAAACTTGTGGTAGTTGTTGGGGGTGTCGTCAAACATAAGTTTCCCAACACTACAGTATCACCATGGTTGGGTATTGTAGGCCACAGTTGGTGTTATATATATATATATATATATATATATATAGGGACGCACTCAGGTGCGAATAAGTGCCCAGGAAGGAAATGCGAACGAATCAGCGCGCGACACGTGTCCAGATTTAATAACTTAAAAAAAACGCGGTGACATTTTCGTAAATAATTGAACATCGAAGTGCAAGTAAAATATCTTATAAGTGCACCTATTTTCACCTATAAGTGCAAGTAATTTTGCCTTGTTAGCATTCACTTTCCGCAATTATTCATGCATCACCTGGGTGTGCTTATAACTATATGTGCAACTATTTATAACTATAGGTGCAACTACTTATAACTATAGGTGCACCTACTTTCACCTATAAGTGCATGTAATTTTGCCTTGTTAACATTCATTGATCTGAGTTCAGCGGGTAGTAATACTCCTGAAAACCACTCGCAAACATTCATACACCTAGATGCAACTACTTATACCTATGTGTGCAACTACTTAGAACTATAAGTGCAACTAAGTATTGAGCTCAGTGTAAATTTTTACTTGCACCTATAATACATTTTACATGCACTTGTAATACATTTTACTTGCACTTAGATATTCAATTATTTACGAAAATGCCACCGCGTTTTTTTTTAAAAATCAGTGTTTCTGATCCAATAGATCTGGACACGTGGACGAACAAAATCCATTCCTATTTCGCGCC